CTCTCCCCGGCGCGGTCGGTCTTCGGTCCGGTCTCCTCCGCGGCGTCTCCGGCTCCTCCTCATCCACCCCAGCAGGAAGTGACCTCCTCGGCTGCTTTCGTCACTTCCATCCTCGGCGGCGGGGGCGGGAAGGAGGAGGCGCCCTGTCGCCGGCTCCTAGCCTCACCTCGCCGCACCCAGCCGCGTCTCCCTTTCCTTTCTCCTTTCGGCAGACGCCGACTTCCGCCCGCGTCCGCCCCTGCGCGCTCCTCCCGCCGTGCGCCCCGCGCATCCGCCCCGGCACGGCGCGCGCACGTCACGCTTCGCGCACGACACGCTGCGGGCACGTTACGTGCGCCCGCGCCGGGCGGGCGGCCGTGCTGGCGGCAGGGTCGGGGTCCGCACAGCTCAGAGGTCCGACGCAGCGCGAGGGAGCACTGGGAGCTGCGTTCTGCCCTTGCCAGTCCAGCGCTGTGCGGCAAAGCCAGGTCGGCTCGGAGGGCCGTGCTGCTGCTCTTACCCCCCACCCCCGCCGCGGAAGGGGGCCTCGCACACCCCACAGAGAAGGGCCCAGGAGCCGGGGGAAGCCTCCCCCACGCCTTAGGGAGGAGGCCCTGCTTTTCCAGAAAGGGGCCCTGCGACCTCCCGCAGAAGTAGCCCCCACGATGGCGGAGAGGCCCGCGGGCTCCAGACGCAGTTCTCCGCCCTCCAGAAGAGGGCCTTTCTGCGTGCGTGAACGAGAAGCAACGGTGCTGTCTTTGCAGCGCGTTACCTGGGCATTTCCTCCCTGTAAAGATCCAGGGGTGTGACCACGTCCCCGCTTGTCCTCGCTCCTCTGCTTTTAGTCTTACTTTGCCCCAGTATCAGCAACTTGCAGGTCTTCTCCTTCAGTCATTAAAACACATGTCCCCCTCCCCTTTTTAAAAAATTTTAACCTTTTGTATCTGCTCGAATAATTATAAACATGTTCAGAGCATGTTTTTTTTCCCCTTTAAGTCTCATGAATGATAAAGGATCTCAAGCATTTCCGCTTTATCTCCAACCCCAGCCCCTGGTAAATCTGAGTGGTGCCCGGGCCTGGTTTCACTTCAAAGGCAGAAGAAAGGGAGGAGCAGGAATCGGTTAAGGTTAAATAAATTAGAATAGAAAATAAGACTGTAGGGGAGGTGTAGAAGAGAGGTGGACTTGAAGAACTGAAGATCGGTTTTTGATCAAATGTACCATTGTTGTTAACCACCATTTCATCATGTCTGCCACACAGAACATGGACATAGCAACATGAGTTGTTTTTAAAAAGTTGGCTTCCAGCCGGACTCGGTGGCTCAGCCTGTAGTCCCGTCGCTTTGGGAGGCTGAGGTGAGTGAATTGCCTGAGCCCGCGAATTCGAGAGCCGCCTGGGCAACTTGGTGAGACCTCATCTCTACAATAAATCAAAAAAATTAGCCAGGTGTGGTAGCGCACGCCTGTAGTTCCAGCTACTTGGAAGGCTGAGGCGGAAGGATCGCCGGAGCCCAGCAGGTGGAGGCTGCAGTGGCCGGGAGCGGTCACTGCACTCCAGTCTGGGTGACAGTGACTCCAACTCAAAAAAAAAAAAAAGTTGGCTTCCAGTTTGGGATATGCTACTAGTCATTCTGTAACTGTTCATAAACTAACAAGTAAATGGCTCCCATCTGGCCTAAAGTTACCTTACCTATTTTTTTCAAAAGGATAATAGCATTGGTGATGTCAGGTCTTTTCTAGTTAGAAAATCCTACTATGCAGGTGAATAAAATAAGGAGCAGAATTAAAGCGCCATAGAGAGGATTACTGATCTCTGGTTAACTCTTTGAACATAGGAACTATCTATGTGTTCCTTGTATCTTCTGCATACTACCTAGAACAATGTCTTACACGTATATGTTGGATATGGGGTTGAACATTCTTTTAAAATACTGAGGTAAGCTGGGCTTGGTGGCTCAGCCTGTAACCCCGCGCCTTTGGGAGGCTCAGGTGAGTGGATTGCCTGAGCCCGCGAGTTCGAGACCCGCCTGGGCAACTTGGCGAGACCTTATCTCTACAATAAATCAAAAAACCACCTGGGCATGGTAGTGCGTGCCTGTAATTCCGCCTACTCAGAAGGCTGAGGCAGAAGGCTCGCCGGAGCCCAGTGGGTCGAGGCTGCGGTGGCTGGGAGCGGCCACTGCACTTCAGTCTGGGCCACAGAGTGAGATCCCAACTCAAATAAAAAAAAAATTACTGAGGTATACCTAAATGATGAAACTGTTTTTAGGTCCTCGTGTCTACATCTACTAGTACTAGGTTATGACCTTGCTTAAGTGACTTAATTTCTCTATGTCAGTTCATCTGTGTGGACATAATAACTATAGTATCTATTCACGTGATGCCTGTATTAGATGTGTTAATACATATTAGAATAGTCTGAACAGAGAATAGTACACTTAAATATGGCAGATGGGCCGGGCTCGGTGGCTCAGCCTGTAATCCCTCGCTTTGGGAGGCCGAGGTGAGTGAATTACCTGAGCCCACAGGTTCAAGACCCGCCTGGGCAACTTGGCGAGACCACATCTCTACAATAAAAAAAAATTAGCCGGGCGTGCTAGCGCATGCCTGTAGTTCCAGCTACTAGGAAGGCTGAGGCGGAAGGATCGCTGGAGCCCAGCAGGTCGAGGCTGCGGTGG